ACAGGGCTGCGGACCCGATGCCATGGCCCAGGGCAGCAAGGCCCTGGCGAGGGTGCGTGCCCCATGTGAAGGGCACATCTGCACGGCCGGGTTTAGCTCGGGTGGTAAAACTGAGCTTAGGAGGATGCTGACCTCCGCAGGGAGGGTGTGGGTCTCAGCCTGGGCCTGGAAGCAGTAAAAATATCCTACAGGAAAGCGAACGGGTGCCACAGCATCACATAAACACCACAGGCATCGATGTGCTGGGCCACAGGTCTTGCTTTGAGCTCTGCAGCACGCTAGACACAGAGGCAGGGGTGCTGACCCAGTGGCACTGACGGGCATGTAAGATTGTTTTCTGCAACTAGTTTTGTTGGTTAGAATTTTTTTTCTTTGCAATAACTGTAAGCTTCTACTAGTGAATTTATGATGTATCAAACGGTAAGGAAGCTGCTCCAAATGCTGCCTGTAGACAAAATTTAAGGGGCCATTCTCCTGTCTTTGTGTTTCTAGATTGCCATTAAGATAAAGACCTTTCTTCAACTCAAAGGTTTTATCCTTTAGACACATTAACATATGAACCCTTCCCTTGTGATGGTGTTAAATCTCAAGTGGGAAAACAGGTCCCTTGATTTGCCTACAGTGCTGTGGCATGCTTGCTGCAAGTGAGATATCGGGAGTTGACTGCATGTGATTTTTGTGCCACTAGCTTGATCGCCAACATGCGCTTTGGGATAATTCTTCCAGATTAGTGCCATGTGGATATTGGACAAAATCCTTTGAGAGCGCTTGGTCAGGGCTGCTACTGTGCACCCTGTTGCTTTTCCTTCACATGTCAATAGGTCTGTGCTGCTGTGTTGGTACACAAGAGCTTTAAAATTCCCAGTTTCTCTTGGCAGCAGGCGGCCTGCGCTGCTTTCTCTTATCTCCTGCCAGCTGGAGAGGTCTGCAGGTGGTAAAAGTAGACTTTCTCCCAAAGCATTCTGCTTGACTGGCAACTCGACGTAAACAGTAGAAGATGAGTTCAAAGTCTTCTTGGATGACCTAAACCCACAGAGCTTATGATAAGGACAAAGTGCATGCTAGCTCATGCAACCAGTTGCTCTAAAACAGGCTCTGATGTTATGTAATGCTCAGACAGCTTGCTGCTTCTCAGCGACATAAGTTTTGGCAAGTACATAAGCAAATAACACAGATCCAAATTTTATGGCAACTCTTCTCTAATTCTCTCTAATCACTCCCTAATTTTAAAGGCATAGGGTGAAACACTTCTGGGAACTAAGCGGGGCTGGGCATCCTCGACCCACTTGTACCACTGACTTGCAGTGCTGTTTTCCTTTCTGTGAAGCCACACAATCACAGCTGATCATGTTCCAAGGCAGGGAGAAGGGGGTGGTCTCTGCTCACCTTGTTTCCAAACAGCCTCAGTGTGTGAGGAAAGGAACATGAACAGCATCTCTGGTACAGGAAAGAGCTGAGTGTGGGCAGGGGTATTGGCGCAGGGGGCAGTTGTCTGTGGAGATGGTGTCTTCTGAAAAAAGGCTAAGGGTTAGAAATGCATGTCTGATGCCAGCAAAGACAAAACCAAAGAACAGCATTTGTGGGGATGGCCTTATCACAGAGGATTCATCACTTTTTTTTCCTGACATAAGAATAGTTTCTGCATTCTTGTGTACCTGTCCCATTAGCGCTTGCTTTCTTACTAACACTGTGGCGAAGCACTGCCTTTTGGGAGCAAACAGAAGGGAAACTCTCAAGATGGATACAGTCCAAGAAGCAGCAGAAAAAAAAAATCTGTTGGCATGTCCAGCTGAAGGCCACAAGATCAAAGAGGCCCTCACCTGATACAAGCAGGTATCATGGCTTGCTAAGTTGTGGTGAGGGCAAAAGGGATGTTAACCTGACTCTTCTGAGTGCCAAATTTGACCCAGCAGGCACAGAAGAGCTGCATCAAAATGGCATGAAGCCATCTGGTGTGTTATTTCTCTCAGCACTATCTAAACACACACTTTTTATTGTGTTTTCACCAGATTCTGCAATACAGTTTATGGCAAGGGATGGCAAAAGGGACTGCTTGATGATGATTCATGTGTCCTGTTTTGTACCCACTGTGCTCTTTCTGTTTCCCTTCTCTAGAGAGCTCACCATGGTCAATGAGACCCAGCATACCTGCAGTGCCAGTTCCAGCTCCAAGTCCGACGGTGGCAGCAGCAGCGGGAGCGAGAGCTCCAAGGACAGTTCACGCTGCTCCACCCCAGTCCTCGATGCTGACCGTCATGAGCGGCTGCGGGAGAAGATGCGCCGACGGCAGGACTCTGGAGACAAGTGGTTCTCCTTGGAGTTCTTCCCTCCACGCACAGCCAATGCTGCAGTCAATCTCATCTCCAGGTGAGGGCTGCAAGGTGGGAGAGGGGAGAGATGAAGTGTCTTTGGTGGAGGGCTGGGAAATAGCTAATGAGGCAGGCTCTGCCCCATGCTCTGTCTCCCCTTCCAGGTGACGAAGCAGGTAATGGGGCTGTGCTTTTCTGCTGAGGAGGGTAATGGATACCAGGTAACTTGTCTTCCTTCAAGGCCCTGAAGAGTTAAGTGTCATGGTGGGGTTACTGAGGGAGCCAGCTTGTTTCCCCTCTCCAATGCTCTGTGAAGACTGAGCAATGCTGCTGTCATGCTGTGGGGCTGAAGCAGAATGCTGGGGGATAATAGGGCAGAAAAGTTACCTATTAAAAGCAGAGAATATTAATTGATGGACAGTGTGCCCAAGTCTCTGGAACAGAGATACAACTTGTTTCCAGAATCATCCAGCTACTATGGTTTGTGCCTCTATTACCGAGGCCTACAGTTTTAACCTCTGAGATTGGTATCCCTTTGTTACTGCTGTATGCCAGTGCCAGGTTTACTTTAAACAAAAAGGCCTGTTCCAACCCAGAGCAGTAGGGAAACAAGTTAGGGGAGTCTTTGTCTCGTCTCTTAGGCATAGCTGTGAACACAACAGAGAACTGGTCCATCTTCATATTTGTGGTCTCTACAGTCAAAGCTGGGAACAAGGGGTTGCAGCACAGTCGCCCATCTCAAAAGGAATGGGACTTGCACTGCTGTCTGTCAGAGGACAGAACAGTCTAATAGAGCATGCTGGGAGGAAGTTTATTCTACAGAGAACACTAAGTTGCCTCTTCTTTAAAGAGATTGTAAGCTCCTCACACAGCCTTAAAGGATTACTTTCCTTATTTACATTGGCCACTTGCTAAACTCCTAGTTCAACACTTTCTTGGTCTCTTCTGCTGCTGTCATCCAAGCTCTCTCTGCCTATTGCTGGCATTCCAGCAGTAAGTAAGATATCCCAGGCATAGAGAGGGGAGTTGGCTCCCTGGTAGGCTAACACAGCTTTAAAATCCACAGGTTTGACCGCATGGGAGCAGGTGGTCCCCTCTTCATTGACGTGACGTGGCACCCCGCCGGGGATCCAGGATCTGACAAGGAGACCTCTTCCATGATTATTGCCAACACTGCAGTCAACTACTGCGGCCTGGAGACCATCCTGCACATGACGTGCTGCAATCAGACCAGGGATGACATCACGGGGCATCTGCAGAAGGCCAAGCGGCTCGGGTTGAAGAACATCATGGCATTGCGTGGAGGTGAATCCTTTTGTCCTGTGATGCGTAGGGCTGCTATTGTGTTCAATTCCAGGGTAGAAATGGAGAAGAAAGATTCTGGAGGCTCCTTCTGCTGTGGGAATTAAATGTTGAGACTGTATTTCACCTGATCCTTTTGTTAGCAGTCCCTCCAGCTCAAGGGTGGACAAAAGCAGTCCATGGGTAAAACTGGAAACTTGGAGTTTCATCTTGTCTTCCTGTTGGTGGCAGGAGGTTTCTACAGCAGTAGCAGATCTGAGTCCAGCAAACAGCTGGAGAGATGTGCATCTGTTCTCTTTTCAGATCCTGTTGGTGAGGAATGGGAGGAAGAAGTAGATGGTTTCAACTATGCTGCTGACCTGGTTAAGCACATTCGCAATGAATTTGATGATTACTTTGACATCTGTGTGGCCGGTAAATGTCTGTCTGTACAGAGTGTGGGGTATGGTCTGAAAGAGGGAAATCAGCTCGGCAGTCCTGCTCTGGACATGGGCTGTGACAGCACAGTCAGATTGGCTATTTTCTAATTTCTAGTGTGTTGTCCTGATCACCAGGGTTTCACTTTTTTTTCCTTTCCCCCCCCCCCTTCCTGCCAAAGGCTACCCTAAAGGTCATCCTGAAGCAGAGAGCTATGAGGCAGACCTGAGGCACCTGAAGGAGAAAGTCTTTGCTGGGGCAGACTTCATCATTACACAGCTCTTCTTCCGCTCAGAAACCTTTTTCAAGTTCATGAAGGACTGTCAAGCCATTGGCATCACCTGCCCCATTATTCCTGGCATCTTCCCCATACAGGTGAAATGCAGCTGTTCTGGTTTGGGGAGGGATATTCCAGGGTGTTAGATGTTTGTGGGTCAGAGCCTGAGAGAGATCTGTAAATATCCTCCACAAAATTTCTGAGAAATGAGGTTGCTAAACATATGATAAATCTATAGGTGTTTTGCCAAAGTAAACTCTTAGGCGTGTAATAACAAGCTTAGAAGGTTTTCCTTGCCCATATAGTAGAGAGGGATATACAGGACAAGTCTACCAGTCCTAAGGTGCTAGTCATCACTGTCAGCGTGCTGGGCTCAGGCAGCGAGTAAAGGAATGGGAAGAAATCACGTAAAGTGACATGACCATGACTATGCTACCATCCTAGAGATGGGGCCTAGGAGTAGAATCCAAGAGCCCCCAGTTCTAAGTCTCCTGGCACAAAATTGAGATCAAGTACCTGTGTTTATGGGATGGATATCAGAAAAGGGCCTTGGAAAAATGAGAATCCCCTGCATCCTCATCCAGGGTTACCACTCCCTGCGCCAGCTGGTGAAGCTCTCCAAGCTGGAAGTGCCTCAAGAAATCAAAGATGTGATCGAACCCATCAAAGACAATGATGCAGCTATCCGGAACTATGGGGTGGAGCTGGCAGTGTCCATGTGCCGGGAACTGTTGGATAGTGGCATGGTGCATGGGCTCCATTTTTACACCCTCAATCGGGAAGTGGCTACTACCGAAGTCCTTAAGCGCCTGGGCATATGGAAGGAGGACCCCAGGTAAGCAGAATATGCTGGGTCTCTTAGTCCCTCTTTCCACCCATCCAGTCTGCTGAAGGCTCAAGCAGCGGGTGGATTGGCACCTCTCATCTGGTGCTTTTTTTTTTTCCTTTTTAAGCACCTTTCTGCATTTAGAAGTTCACCCTTCTTGGGGACAGCTGAAGGAGATTTGGTTTAGTCAAGTGGCTTTAAAGTAGCATGTTCTGGAACTGTCAAAAGCTTAACTCTTAGAGCTGCCACTTGGAAGAAACATGTTTTTTGAGATCTCTCATAACCCTTCTTAAAGGCTAGGTGCTATGTAAGCTCCTGCTGTGGATTTCTGGGGTTCACTGCAGCTGACAAAGGGAATGTGGACTTCTCTTCAAGTTCAGCATGGACAAGAGGAAGCAGAAGGAAATGGATAGCTATTTTCTTGTTAAAAATAGCTTCACACAGTGCTTTTCCCATACCTCATCCATTTTCAGGTGTCAGTCCTGTACTGAACCGTTTAATAGACACCTACGGAGTATCGTGTGAGGGACCTGAATGGGAAAAGATTTTCCGTAAAGGAAGAAGAGTTTACTGTCCTACCTCCTGACAAACAGAACTCTTCTCAGCCCATTACTTGCGTTCTCCAGGGGCAAAGTTCTCCATGGGAAGGGTTTTGAGCCTGTAGTGTAAAGTCAGCAGAGGAACTGTATTAACGTCCGCTTCTCCCATGCAGGCGGCCTCTGCCCTGGGCAGTCAGCGCTCACCCCAAGAGAAGAGTTGAAGATGTTCGGCCCATCTTCTGGGCCTCTAGGCCCAAGAGTTACATCTATCGAACTCAAGAGTGGGATGACTTCCCCAACGGCCGATGGTAAGCTGTCAGCCTGCACTGGCAGTGGGCAGAGGTGTGGTATGAAAGCCTGCCCCACAATTGGTTTCTGTCATTAGTGGGTATCTGAGCACACTTTGGGCTTGACAAAACAGGTGGCTTCTTAAAGTGGTCCCCAGCTGCTTGGACTGGAATGAGGTGAGGAGAATGGCACCAAGATGGAGGCTTTTTGTCTCTGGGTGGATTTTTTTTTTTAATATTTTTCTTCCTGGGTGGCTGTTTTCCTGCATTACCAAATCAGTTCATCTTCCTCAGTGCCCTGTTAATCCTGTGTCTGCTCCCCTTACAGGGGTAACTCCTCCTCTCCAGCCTTTGGGGAACTGAAGGACTATTATCTCTTCTACCTGAAGAGCAAGTCTCCCCGGGAGGAGCTCCTGAAGATGTGGGGAGAAGAGCTGACTGGCGAGGAAAGCGTCTTTGAGGTATTCACGTGTTACATCACCGGAGAACCCAACAAGAACGGGCACAAGGTGAGTGATGGCCCAGTAAGGGATGGTCAGTGTGGCACAGACAATAGTACATATTTCCTCTTGCTCCTGGTACCACATTGCTGTTCTAGACAAGAACTGGCACTTCTCTGTCCAAAAGGGCTTGCTGAGATAGTGGCTGAAGGGAATCCAGCAGCCAGAGCTAGGGTTCAACATAAAAGGAAAGCTGCTACAGTATGACAGGATCAGTACTGACAGACTTCAGCAGTCATTCTTAGAGTTGCAGATATCCTGCTCCTTGAACCAAACCTTGGGAATTCTATCCTGAAGCAGATGTGGCACTTCTGAGTTCCTTCAACATTCAGATGGTAACCAAAGGGTTGTTATGCCTATTGTGAGCCATCCTTTCTCCTCATGGTAGGTTACGTGTATGCCTTGGAATGATGACCCTCTTGCTACTGAAACCAACCTTCTGAAGGAGCAGCTGGAGAAGGTTAACAGACGAGGAATCCTGACCATCAATTCCCAGCCAAACATCAATGGCAAACCATCCACAGACCCCATTGTAGGCTGGGGTCCCAGTGGGGGTTATGTCTTCCAAAAGGTAACGCACTAATCTGGGCTAGGCAGCAGAGTTATGACCCAGTTTGGTCTCTGTTAGGTAGGGACGTTTCACCCAGATAATCTTTCTGCCCACTCCTTATCTTAATGCCTTCTTGCTGAGATGAGCCAAAGCTCCTTTGGTGTCTTAAGAGACAGACTGTGTCATTGCTATGGCTTACTTCATAGCTGTTTCCCTCACCTCAAACCATCTCTTGAACATCTACAGAGTTTCTTGGTTTTACTCTCAGCAAGTAATTATTGGTAACTTTTTTCTAGAGCAGGGCAATGAAGTTTTAGATACAAACACATGCCTGCCCACTGCATCTGATCCCATTCAGTGATGCAGGAAGCACCCAGGTTTTTCATAAAGTGGGAATCAGTGAGGTGGTATCTCTACCACCCGGCCTCTCATGGTAATAACTGGGCATTTAAAAATTTCTCTCTCTGTCCTTCTCTATGGCAGAGTTCTTCAATTGCTCCCATCCCACAGCACAACTGCTGTGCTGTTCAGACAGCTTCCAGGTTCCTTGTCTGGCCTGCCAGCAGTCTTATCTGCCATCCCTGCCTCCTACTGTCATGCATTTTCAGGCCCTAGAGCCTTGCCACTAATGGCTGTGATAGGAATCAAGGTAAATGCCAGGCAAATGGCTCAGACCAGGAAACAAAGCAGCCTTGTTCAAAAGGGATTCAAACCGCTATAGCCATGAGACCAGCAGATGGCAAATGCAGTTATGTTTTCAAAGGAAAAAATTCCCCCGAGGTGAGGGGAATCCATCATCTCACACAATAGCCAGGAAATAGGGGGAGGGGAGGCGGTTGTTGGGAGCAGCCAAGCACAGAGTAGCCGTAGATGGAGCAAGTACAGAATTAGGTTGTATAAGCACACAAGGAGAATTGTAAACAAAAGATAAGGACTGGGAGTGGTTAGGGTGCTTGGGAGAGCCAGCCGTGACCTCAGACCTGCGCCCACCAGACTGGGCTGTCTTGGCAGGACACTGCTGCCCATAGGGCACCATGTAGAACAGAGGTCAAGCTTAGGTCTTGTCCAAGCACTCTACACTGTCTGGCACAGTGCTGTGGTGACGCTCTCCAGAGCTTATTTCACCCTGCTTGCTTACATGGGTGAAAAACAGGAATAGCATAGCTTTTGTGAGCTGGCTTCTCCTGAGCTGTTAACTCTGCTCTCCCTACTTTTTATCCCTTTCCCCCCAGCTCTCTTACTAATTTGCTCTGCCCCTTGCTCAAGCATCCACTGTCGTACATGTTTCTGGGCATGAACATAGAAGTCTTAAGGTGTCTGGCTTCCAAGCAGCCAAGACAGCACAGCTGTTCTCTTGTTTGCTTGTATGTGTCCTAGAGCTGCAGTGAGTAAAGGCTCTTGCTCTCTTTGTCCTTCCCCATCCCTCCCTGTAGGCATACCTGGAGTTCTTCACCTCCAGTGAGATCGTCACGGCACTGCTCAAAGTGCTGAAGAAGTACGAGCTGCGAGTGAACTACCACATTGTCAATGTCAAGGTAGGCTGTTGGTTACAGGACACTTTCCTTTCACCGCCCTAGGAGAGAGGGATGTATCAAAGATTCAGTTATCACTGAATGAAGTGGTACATGAAGGCTGATGAAGGGAAGGGAAAGTGAAGTCAGCTGTGATATACAGCAGCTGTCTGATCTTCCAACAAGGGGAGAGTAAATGTGCTGGTCCAACTCACTCAATCCCTCTTCCAGCAGTTGCTTCAGAAAGGTTTTCCTTCCTTTGGCAGGGCCAGAATATCACCAATGCTCCAGATCTGCAACCCAATGCTGTCACCTGGGGCATATTCCCAGGCAGAGAGATCATCCAGCCCACTGTAGTGGATCCTGTAAGCTTCCTCTCTTGGAAGGTGAGTCCTGCCTCCTGCTGGACACATTGCTGTGATGCCTTGGAAGTTCAGAGTGTCTGGTTTGGTTTAATCCATGACACTTCTCACCATCGAGTACTGTTGTGATAGTGGCTTTGCAGAGGTCCAGATATTGCTCCTCCTGCTCCCTCAGTGTAAGGAGAACTTTGCTCTGGCAAGAGCTCCTCACAGACACCAAGTGCCCAGTAACAGGAGGCTTGGGAACTACTGCTGTCGCTGCTGGGCCCCAAAGCTCTGGGCAGTAGCTCTCCCTCCCCTCTTGCACGCGCAGGGGCAGCATCGAGCCGCTGTACAGCAGATGCGGCTCCTTTCAGCTCTGGGCACTTCCCACTCAGTGCAAAGCATGAGCCGCCCTTGCTCCGCGTGTGCGGTTTTTACTGGGAAGAAACAAACATGCGTGATGCTGCTTGTCCTAAATAAAATAACATGATAATGCAGCTCTGTAACGTGTATTACACCATTGCCAGCATTTTTTTTTTTCCTTGGCAGGATGAGGCCTTTGCACTGTGGATCGAGCAATGGGCCAAGCTCTATGAAGAGGAGTCACCCTCTCGCATGATCATCCAGTACATCCATGACAACTACTACTTGGTCAACCTGGTGGACAATGACTTCCCACTTGAAAACTGCCTCTGGCAGGTTGTGGATGATACTTTTGAGCTGTTGAACTCTCCAACTCAGCAGTGAAAATTCCTCTTCTAATCCTTTACTTCCTCCTCCTGTCCACTGACTTTGCGAGGGGATAAAAAGCAGCTGCTGTGCTGACGGTGAACCACACACTCCTAAACCCAGTGACCAGGCTAGCTCTCCGCTCTACCCACACTGCATGCCTTCTGTCCACAACACAAAGGCTCCCTGACCCTTTCTCACTGAAAACAGCCAGAACTACCTGAACCTCTGGGCTGAGGCTCTAGACTGAGCTTGAAGGCCAGCTCTGCAGGATGAAGAGGTGCTAATTATGGCTTTGTGGACTACAATAACAGGAGAACTCTTGTGCATCAGTGTTAGAAAACTCAGTGGGATTCTGGTAACTTTCTCATGCTAGAAATGCTGCCTTGGAGGCAGAAACACTCCTGTCAGCAGTTCCTAGGCAAGGAGACTATGTTGGCAGTTACCAGCCCTGAAATGAAGCACAAGTTGCTTTACACTGCACTCCTAAGATACATTTCTTCATGACTGATCATATCAGGCTCTCTTGCACTCACTCCAGAAGAAGGTTCAAATTTTCCTCCTGAATTTTCTCCTCCTATTGTATTTCCTGTGTTCTCTTTAACAGGAATATGTGAATTTCACTTCTGGATAAGATTGAGTAGGAATCACACTACTTCTTAGATTGAGTACAATAAAATAACAAATACAACTGTCTCTTGTACTAGGCCATATTCTTTTAAGCCCAGACTTCTAAGCAAAGACTTACATTGTTTGCAAACTTAACAGCCTCGCCCAAGGGAAAAATTTAAGAAAACCAATTGTTTCTGGGGCAGTTCTGCCTTTGCTTTTCACCATGTGATCTAAAGCATGGACAAAGCTCTGTGGTAGAGCAGAGAAAGCTTAAATCCTAGAATTTACAAACAGCAACCAGCTATAACCTTTGGCTCAGTTCTGCAAGGTCACAGGAGTTATGGTGGTCCTTTTCCAGTGCTTGCAGGGAAGGACACCCTATCTTTCCTGACCTAATGACTGTTAACCTCCTTACTCCCTGCAGCATTGAAATAAGGGGTTGGGGGAGCTACAGTGGCTGCTTTGTGTACTTAACAATCCTGCAAAGCTACCACAGGCTAGGAAAACAAGACCTCAGAGCAGTTCCCAGTAGGATTTTGAGATCCCTGCCATGCTGTGAGCATCTCTTTCAAAAAAGCAAGGAAGAAAAGCTTTTTCCAGATTCTTCAGACCCTCTCATTACAGCTCTCTGAGACTGGGCTCATATATCCAGGGTAATTACAGGGCATCAATCACAGAAGCACGTAATGGGAAGGCTGGGGGTCAGACACGCCTGTCTTGCCTCAGCAAAGCTTTTGGTGCTCAGCTGTTCCCAGCAGGTTTCTTCACCCCTAGCCCATTCAGCACAGAAAGGAACCAGCAGGAAGCAGTCAAGAGGTTGGCCACCCACTGAAAGACTTAATGAAGAGCTAGCTGATCGACAGAGAAAGGGGGAGGAGGTGGGAGCCATGTGGGAATCCCTCCCCCCAGGGGAACCCGAGCCAAATCTAAAAATAAAGACCTGTGTTTGCACCTTCTGAGGATAGTCCAGACTTTGGAACCAATAGGATGTAGCATTTGCAGAAGCAGACTCCTGTTCATCTCTTTAAGACTGATGTATTTGCTTACTCCCCTGTGTGACACTAAACTATCCAGGAAAAAAAGCTGAGTAAAGGGAGAGCCTATAAGGTGGGGTTTTGACCTTTAATCAGAACTCCAGAATATCAGGGTCCAGAGGAGTAGGGAATGCAACCTCACTACAAAAGGGAGTAACTTCTCAAATTAGTGCCTCTAGGGAGGTAGGATATCAAGTCCTTTAAAGAGGAACATTCACTAGGTACCACCTCTTCCTGGTTGTTCTTCCATGCTTGTGGCCTGCAGCACTGCTTTTATCATGTGAGCAGCGCATTTGCTTTCTTGATTGCAGGAGCAGCTCTTTGTTGTGACAGCCAGCTGTATCCTCCGTGTCCTGAATGGAGCAGCAGCTGCAGGCAGGGCCCCACCACTCACCAGCATCCTTTGTCCTTGAGCTGGAATGCTGTTAGCTGCCGCCACCTTCCAAAGGCCTTCAATAGTAAAGTGGACAAATCAAATACCCTGTTACCCTTGAGGGGTTGCAGCCACCCTCACAGTACTGTAAACACAGTTTTTCCTCTAGCAATAGCTATGCCAACTGCCTCACCATCCACCCAGAGCCCTTCCCTGTCTTCCCTATGTTCCTATAGCCAATAAGTGCAGAGTACAGATTAATGCAGGAAAAGTAAATGCCCTTCTGCCCTCTAATTTCAGTACTTGCTCTAATTTTAAAGAAGGGCCTAATCCTGCATGGATCTTTGGGAGGCAGGCAGGGGAGCAAACCAGCTATTCGAGCTCTAAGGCTTTGCCTGCTCGCTCAAGTTTATAGCGATTTGCCTGCCCCTGGGTGCAAGTCAGCACAGTCCTTCTGCACCGATGTGGAGCCTGTTTCTTCCCTGAGCGGACTCTCCAGAGGCAGGGGATTAGTGGATTAACATCTCTGGTGACAGTGGGGAAGGGGGCACATGTCAGGTAAATTGACTGCTGACACAAAGCTTTGAAAAACACCCGAAGATGAACCCATATAAAGCTGGAAGCTATTTTCCTTTGTTAACAGGCAAGTCCCATTCCTTGATGTATTCAACTTCTCCCTAAGCAAGTGCTTTGTGCAGGGAAGAGAGAGACAGGGAACACCAGTTGTCCCTTCGAGGTGCTGTTTGGTCCAATGAGGTCCACAAAACTAAAGCAGTCATAAATTCTTACGTGAGATAGTAGGCTTCTGGCTTCCCCCTCCAAAAAATTCTGCACCACACAGCTTTGCAAATATCGCCGTCTCCACACCCTCCAGGCCTTTTCTATCAGCTGCTGCTGGTCCTGTCAGGAAAAGACAGTGTACAGATTAACTGGGCACTGGTAGGCAAACTACCCCACTTCCCTCCAGTCCCATCTTGCTTCCAGTTGCTTTCCTGGGTTCTTCTTGAGCGACTTTGCATTGCTAAGGAACAAAGCTGACTACTAACAAAGTCCTTGCTGAATTAGTCTCTGGCAAATACTGTGGCTAATTAAGTCACCGTACCCTGGGGAAAGGACAGTGCTCCAACATAGCTCCTTGCTGACTATGGATGTGCCTGCTACATGTGCGTCATCTTGTCCCATGGGCAAGTCAGAGCACATCTTGCACAGCTAATGCCCAGGAAGCCAGACAAAACAAGGGTCTCTTCCATAGGTAGCTAGGGCCTGAGCAGAAGGAGAAGCCAAATGACAGCACTTGGTAGGCTGTGGACAACACAGGGAGGTAGCGGGAACACAAATGAGGATATAGATTGTAATACTTGCTGTGAACTTTGTGCACAGGCTACAGACAATCTATACAAGTCATCCTGTCTCAGTTTCCCATCTGGTAGGAAGGGGCAAAGCACAACAAATGCTATGCTGGCAAAGAGAAAGATGGAAAAAGTAGCCACAGCAGCAAACTAGGATTTCTGTTGCACACTGGTATTTGTTAAATCCCCAGGTGTCATCTCACAGGACATAAGCGAGGCTGCAAGCAGAGCAGGTTGCCCAGTAACACCCATCACTGCCACCCCGGTGGCAGACACTCACCAACACCTGAGCCAGTATCACCATCCTGCTGGCTTCTTTCCATTGATGCCACTCCCTGGCCAGGCAGTGCAGTCTCCTGTCACGCTGCCACCGACGAAGTCTCACCGTGTGATGCCACCACCTCAGACACTTCCTCCTATAGGCAAGATGGGAAAATAAGCTTTATCAGCCCAACAGCCCTACAAGGGAGTCCTTCCCTGATGGCAGCAACAAGAGGAAGCCCAGAGCCCTCCACTCCACTTACTCAAGCCACTTCTCATCCCAGTCCTCCAAGTCCACCTCTTCTTTGTTCTCCTGGATCCCTGCATGTGCAGAAGGTCCTACCACACCAGGTCTCTCTACCAGGTGAGGGAGCTGCAGCCTTTCAGCCCTGTTTTGGTTTCTGTAAATCTCCAACCAGCGGTGAATGGCACTGGGAAAAAGCCCAGGATGGGCAGCTGGTGCTGAACCCTTTTCTCTGCTGCTTCTGCTTTCTAGGAAAGAGTAATCACACAGGAGCTATCCTCGGTGCTACATACGGAGAGATAAGAGCTGCCAGCAGTCCTTTGTCCTCTGGCTGCTGAAGCAACCCACAATCAGAGTTTGACTGCCATGAGCACCTACTCCACAGAGGAATCCCAGTCATCTGGCCGGCGAGCACTACTCCCCTTCCCTCCTCACGCACACTCCCCACACAGCCCCACGGAAGGAAGAGAGGAGGGAGCATCTTACTCATGGTCCAAGACAGAGACATCTTCCTGCTCTTCCTAGCACCTATCAGGGTACTGCACTGCCGTGAGCACTGGGAAAAGGCAGCTGCTTTTGTCCAGTAGTTGCAGGCCTGCAAACAGAAATAACACAGCTGCAGGCAAGACTAAACACAACGTGCACAGACAGCACACACACAAACTAGCCTTAGAGATACATTTACGTTCATATCCCTGCAGGTAGTTTAATGTGCTAGACCCCAGGCTGGAAACTGCACAGATGAGATCCCAGCAGGACTGACTCAGCCCTTCCAAATCAATCGACATCTTTGTGGTTTGCTAGCTGTGAGTCTTTTGAAAAAAGCTGCAACTCTGACAGCTCGCTCGGCTCTGCAGGGACAGTGATTATCCCATCTCATCTTTGAGCAGAGAGGAAGGAGTGCCCTCATCTCTCTGGTCAAAATGTCCCCATTCCTCATTGCTGTGCTCCAGATGGTTGCTGCAATCAGTGCCAGATTATGGTGATGAAGTTGTGTGCACAGTCTGCAAAGAATATCAAGGCAGGGACTGAGACGATGAGTCAAACCAGGTTTTTATACAAGCCTTGTCACTGTAGCTCAGTGACTCACTAGGGTCTTCACGAGAGAACAGGCAGTCAGCTGCCTCCTTCACCTTTTCTTACCTGTTTTACTGTAGCCACAGATCCTAGGCGCAGGGCTTGCTGTCCTCTTGAGGCCAATCGCCAGCGGTGACAGGCTTTACCCTGAGGGGGTTCCTGCC